AACGAAACGCGTGGATCCGCGCATGGCCGACTTTGTTTCGTCGTTCGGGCGACACTGACATTTCCTAAACACCCACTTTTACCTTTATCGCGTATTATCCTACGTGTACAAAGACCGGACGAGTGTCAATGAAAACGGTGGATTAATTTTCGGAAAGTTGCACAGAAATGCGGGTAATTATTTCGAATTACGCGAAATCGCGAGATCAAACGCTACGCGTTTTGGCTTCGCGTTAAACCCAATTCTACGCTATTCGAACGTATGCGTCGCGCCTTAGGGCAGCTTTCTATGACCGCAACGCATCGTGATCGAGCACTTTGAAACTCGCGATACCGAACGCGCGTTTTCTGCCCGCTGCCGAGAAACGGTAACGCGTATTTTCGAGGCAGACGCGAAATATTCCTAACGACTAATTTCCCGTGGAACGGGGAGGATAGGCAGAGAAACGCGCGGAGGATTTTAATCCGAGGAGACATGGAAGATATTTATGCCCTGTTCGAATGGGCCGATTTTACGCTCGTGCCCGCTCGAAAGCGTGCATCCGGCAGAGAACCGGCCGCGCTTATTTGTCTTCAAACGCGTTGTAACTTCCTTTCACGGTCTTTTCGACAACGGCCGGCAAAGTGAACACCGACGGACCCCTCCGTGGCCGGCGTCCCATTAAAATCGACCCTTTTTCCAGCTTTCCAGCGCATTCACCGACAAAACGTTGCGCCGTTGGAAACGCGGCTTTACGGACAGCAGAAACGGCGCCGGGGAATATAAAATGTACATACATCGGCATGCATAAAAGCTTCGTGGTTTGCCGGGGTAAGCGAATCACCGACCCATAAACCATCCTTGACTCTCTCCTCGTCTTTGCCTACGAAGCGCCTGCACCGCAGAAATTGAAAACTATCGGCGTGGCTGGCTGGCTGGCTGGCTGGCTCGTTGTCGCGCGCGCGTATCGTCTTACGGGCCTGGCGGAAAGGAGCACGAAAATTTTTCTTTCGCTCAAAGACCACCGATTACCCGGTACTCGCGACACGGCCACGACCCGGTAACGAGTCGCCACGATTTCTAAGTAACCCCGAAGTCGAGATAATTAGGGACAAATTTAATTACGGCCATTCAACGCGACTTCGCCTTTTCCTAACGTCGCCCGTGTAATTAAGTATGCGCCACACCGCCCCGTAATTCACGAAACTACGCGGAAACCGTGATTTAAAAGAAGGAAAAATCGCGCCGACTCCGCGACGAATTTCGGAGATATTAAACGAAATGGCATCGAGATAGGTGATCGCAAACAAGGCTACGCGTTTCCATTCGCTGCCAAACATTTTTACCACGAGCTACCCTTTCCCCCAAAACCGTACATTCCCATTTTTTCAATATTCGCAATATCGCAAATACGTTATTTTCCCTCTTCGTTTCGCGCGTGTGTTTTCGCTCGCGCCGAAAAGGATGAGGTCGCGTAAAAGCGGAGGAAAAGGGAAAAATTAAAGAAGGGAGACGGTGATCACCGATGTACGAGGGACGAATGTGTATCGATTGGATCGGTAAGTGGCAGCGACGCGAAAGAGATTCAGAAATACGTTTCGGAAATACTCGGAGCTGCTGAAATTCTTCGTATCGATCGGCAAAGCGTGCATAGAGAGATGCCGCGCTTACTGGCACGTGCTACCAAAGAGTACTCGTTTTCACCGTGTCTCTCTACGAGAGGTCAACGAGCATTCGGGATTACGACAAGTCCTCCTCCAACTATCAGATTCGCGTTGCGTTTCTTTCCGCGAGAAAAGAGTTCGTTGCCACGCTCAGGACACCCTACTCGCCACGATTTTCCCATTTTCCGACATCGCGTTAAACTGGTTGCACGTAACTCGCGAGAAAAGGGATACTTGGAATGGTATCGCCGAGTTACGGTTACTCGAAACCGCGATATTTTTGTCTCTTTATCGCGTTAGTGCTCGTGCTCGTTTCGGCCATGTTCCTCGATTGTTCGAGCTCGAGAGAACGAACCCTTTTGGAGTTCGCGGTATTGCTGGAGTGAAATCAGCTGTTGTCCGGAAATCGAACTTCGTGGAATTGGGAGTGAAAATCGTTGCAAGGAGAAGCAAAGGTGCGGACAATGGTCGCGAAGGAAGGTTAGAACGAAGTAGGAAGGAAATTTCGAGAGAAGAAACGTCACAATGACGACCGAGCCCATGGCCGTGAGTACCTCGTCGCATAACCACGGCAAAAGAGTCCCGCCAGAGCTGAAATTATTGCGTTTTCTTGGACCACGTCCAAACACCGACAACTAACAGCCGTGTGATTATTGCAACACACTCTATACTGGCCTACATCGATACGACGACGATCGCGTATTCGATACCTCGAATTATCGATACTTTCCATATTTTCCACGGTTTAACTCCTGGACGAGCACGACGAGATACGATACAGGAGCATGAACCAAGTTAGTAAGACGAAAGAGGGCCATTCGATAAGAGAAACGGGTGAAACGAAGTTAAACGAGCGAGAGGATCGATGATGAGTTTCGATAATGCCCTATGCTCGGATAGAATGTCGCGCTGGTGAAAGAAATGGAAACGAGAGGGACACCGCGAACCGAGTTACATTGCACGTGGTTGAAACTTCAACAAGTATCTGGATCGTTAACGTCCCTTTAATAATTACGCGCGATTTACATCGGAATGTAACGCAGTGTTACCGTAAACATGCGACCTCTCTCGATTATCTGTGCGATTCAAGGTCGAGCGTTGTGCGCAACTCGCACACGGACTAGAAAAACCTAACAATAACAACGGGTCGACCGAGTCGATTGTAACCACGGTATCGACGATTAAAACCCTCGCGGACAGAGTAGAGATTTTCTCTCGTTTGGAAAGAGCGATTAAGGAGGCATGCAACTGACAGTCAGATGACAGCTTACCGAGTGACCCATACGTACGCCCCTCCCATTCAACGATTCTGAATTTCACTGCGAATCGACAAGCTCACGGGGTGGCTTTTGTTTCGATAGAATAAGAGAGCTTACCACCTTGCTTACGAACTGGCATCCCGTTTGGCGACAACTAAATCCTGATGCACGTACGTCGAAGAAACACAAGGCTGTAGATAAAGGGTAACAACGATGACAAAGAAGCGTAAACGGCACTAGTTTACGGAAGGGAGAAGAAACGGGAAAGAGAGTAACACGAAGCACCGTGTGTCACTTCGATATTCCGCACGATCGCGCACGGTTCACTATTGTCACGCGAATCGACGACCTGTTTCACGGGTGGCGTAGACGGGCATGTACACGGCTCGGCACGTCACTCGCGAGACCTCCCGGTGGTCCGACGAAACGTGGTAAAACGAAACGGATATAAACACAGGCCGCCACCACTCGGCCACGGGCAATATGGCGTCGCGCTTAGTCTAGCAGTCGGAAAACTGACTAGCCGCGAGAACGCCACCTCCGATTGGTCGATCGCACCATGCGTGACGTCAGGTCGTCTCGTGACACACTCTCCCCGTGAAAGCAGCCCCTCGCGAATACACACACAGCGATACACGTATAACCTTCCTAATGTACTATGAAAAGTTTGTATTCCACGTTAGAAACGAGGACGCCTTCGTTCGAATAATACGATACCTTACGGGAAATTACAATTACGTATCGTTTCGAGAAATATACCGTTTCGATATTGATAATAAAAGCGATTTAAATATCGACAGTGCACTCTGAATTTCGTCTTGTACTTCCGTATGTTTCCGGTATGTGTCGCGAGTTGACGAGACAGCGACCATTGCCATCTTACGGTAGAAAATGAAAGAATAATCTTTAGAAAGAAATTCTTGTAGCATAAACGAAATGTTGTATTAAAATTATATTTTACGTATTGAATCGGTAATATCGATATGAGTCTTGACGAGATACAAACTAGACCCTACGTTCTATGAAACTTTTGTACCATGTATTCTGAAATACCGACTTCGGAGAGAAACGGAGTATTTCTTACGCCCTCTACAATTTGTTACAGTGAATATAGTAATTACATTCGACTCGATCATACAAGAAGATAAAATCATAGCTACGAAAAATTTTATTTAGGAACTCTCGAGAAAAATCTGTCGCATTCTGTAGGTAGCAGCTTTATGCATATATAGCAGCATGCACTTACACCACGAGACAATATGATATACTTATTAACCAATGAGAAACGATATTTTAATAGAAATTCCAATATTTCAGCAACTCTAACTAAAATATTTCCTCGAACATGTTATACTTCATTAAAATCACGTGATACTTCATTAAAATAACTATTAAAATAAACAACTAAATATTTTTATTTGATTTCTATTAATATTTTGATGGGAAAAGTACAAAAGGCCTGATTTCAATTAAACGATGTATCATAAAAACATGCATACCTTCTAATTGATATTAATATAGAATAATACTCGTGGCCATTGTATCTGAGATCAAAAATGATAAAATTGAAATACTCACGAGACACGATAGACGCCGTTCGTATATTACTTCGCCGTAACAATATACGTAGCTTACAATTGTCCGAATACCAAGCTCGTAGTAATAGCGAATTATTTTCACTTCACATTGATTCTGATTTTTCTTCTTTTCTTGAAATCTTTTCAGATTACACTCGTGAAAACGCGCGCGATTACGAATGGAATTATTGCAAACTTATACGCATTAGCAATACTACTTGCGCATGCGCAGTTGAAAATTTTATTAATATGGCGTAGTAAAATACGCGGGAAACATCAAACGATAAGCGCATGCGCAGTAGAGAATTATAGACGAAAACTCAAAAAACAATTTACAAATATAAATTCGAAAAGATTTGTAGAATCTTTTTAACAATTACATATGTTAATCGCAATAAAAATATACATGAAAATCTATAATTATTAAACGATTATCATGAAACGAAACTAAAATAATGTGAAACTCTAAAGTTCCCAAAGCATAGAACAACAGTACATTGGTACACAGATCTATGCAGTACGTAGTCTGTGGTATTGATGAACACCGGAGCTATTGAATTATGTGTTACAAATAAATATCTCATATTTTTTAACATTAACGGCAGATATAAAATTTGAATAATTGTAAAATGACATCAATATTTTCACGTGAAAAGTTTCGCATGGTAAACCGTCGCAGCCCTGAAATTCAATTAATCGATGAATGGAAACCAGTACGCGAAGTGTATGTAACCTTACTTTATGAAATAACTCATAAATATATCGGATATAACGAATGTTATGTTCTTATTATTTGTAATAAATTTATTAGACTACTTTTATTATTTTTTGTAGTTGGTCGTTAAGGTATGGAGACAAAATAATAGGAGGTATTGCTGCTGTTAATGCAGTATTAATTAATCAAATGTTTAGACGGAAATTAAAGTTACGTCACGAAGGTGCTATATTTACTACATTAAGTTTAGCATTCGGCTCGGGAATTGCAACACAGATAGGTCATAAATATGTATGTTAACAAAATAAATTTACTTTTCATAATGAAACAACAGCCATTACAATAATATATAAAAATACAGTAACAATTAATATCTTCAGTTTGTTACAGAAGACATAATGAAATACAGGCGAAAATGTGTCATGTGTCAAGAATTGAAAGCAACTTTATCATGCTGTGGTACTGGTATCTTACATCCCTTGATATTAGCCCCACTGATAAATATTGCAGTAAATTATTTTCCTTCGTATACTTCTTTTATTATAATTGATTCAATTTATTAATTTAAAAAACTTCTATATATAGATTGCTGGAACTATAGGATATAGAATTCCATATTTGTATGAAGTAAAAGAACTTACTACATTCTGTTGGAGTGTTGTCAGGCCTCAGTTTAAGATTCTATCATTCCTATTGTTTACCAATATATTTGTGAGTGCTATAATAACATATTCTGAAATATCATTAATGGAGAGAGTAGTAGATATTGTATTAAATTTCCAAGAGTTGTACCCAGAGGTATGTCTAAATAATTTCTTATTTTATAAATTAAATTTATATGTACACTTTAATATTTGCATATATTTACATATATATTTATGATCTAGGACTCAGGAAAAATAAGAGATTATGATACAGTAACTGGAAAGCTTTTTAAGTAACTATCAGAGAATTATAGAAACAAACTTACTTTTTAGTGCATATATTATACAATATTTTGACAACAATAAATTAAAAAGATTCTGTAAAATCATTGGTTAAACCAAGATTCGTGTTATAAAGGAATTTAAAATGATAATAAACTTAAAACGATTAATAATAAAACGATTTGAATATTCATTTGTATAATAGATAAGAAATATCACAATAAGTCACTCCTCTCTAAATAAATTACATATGCCAGTTATACATATAACGTTAACTATAATTTTTTTATACGAACGGTATATTTTATGCAAAATAGAAAATATATGATCATATTATAGATCTTCATTGACAAAACAAATCAGATAATTAACTTTCTTGAAAAATTTTATAAAATAAGTAGATTATAATTCTGCAATGATTATTCCATAAAAAATAATATTAGATATAATTTTGTTTGTAACATTGCAATATTTTACATATTATAAAAGATATAATACCTCTATTAATTACAAACCACAATCTTCTTCTTTATTTCAATAATTAAATTACAAATTGGTATAACTACTACATGTAAATTTTTATTTTTCGAAATTACCTTTTGCTATTTATAAAATATATTAAAGTTATCTTTATAGTGAATTGTTTTGCCATTTCGAGAAAAATATTCGAAATTCTTAAATTTGTTAAACATTTTCTACTTTAAATATAAAAAACTCAAAAGTGCTTAATGTTTACAAAAAAAATTAAATTTTCTGATTATACATACCATATGTCCATATTTATAATAATATGGAGCCAATAATGAAATATATAAATTTTGTTCATATATCACAATTTTCTAGACTGCAATTACAAATACAAACATTAATGTTATGGCTAAGGTGAACATATTAAGTACATCTCTTTCCCCAAATATTAATTAGGAAAAGGTGATAACAAAGTTATGAATTATACTATGAACAAGAGAATAAAATAAGCAGTATCATTTTATATAAACTAAATAAAAATATATTTATACTAGCCATAAAAAAAAAACTCAAGGAAATTTTCAACTACACTTAATTTTAACATATATTATCTCATTATTTAAATAACAATTTGAAAATAATCATTCAGAAAGGACAAGATCACTGTTCCCAAAGCTGTATAATTTTTGTTAACAAATGTATTTTCTTATAGAGTAAATAAATGTGAAACATAAAATATATAATAGGCACCACTGGAAATAGTAAAAGATTAAGTTGGACTATTTTTAGTACCATACTTCTGCTTATATTCCATAGTCCAAGGCTTTTTATAGGAAGACATATGGAATAATGATCATGATATAATGATAAATAAAATTGTTTCATATGTGTATATAAAAATGACAGATTATTTTGCACGGATGTAATGATAAAAAAATTAACTGATATCGAACATGATTGTGTGCATGAAAAATAATTAGGTCCTATTGCAATGAATACATGTTGACTGGCCATTATATTAATGCATTGATAATTAATGTATTGCAAACAAAAATTAAATGTATCTGCTGTCAAATAACAAATATTGCCAGATATTTGATCAATGAGGGGTCCTCTAATAGAACCCCAGAGCAGTTGCTAGCATCTTCGGCCATGCCAGCTTGTCATAAAATCTTGATAGCTCACAGTCACTTTTTCACTCTGGTATCGAGTTAACTTCACACTACGCCTAATGTCGGGAGTAACTAACCCTTTATAGCCTCCTTTATGCAGTAAAGAATCTATTGTTTGGATTTGGTTCCAGCCTAAATAAGTAAAATTCTAACTTTGCAGAATACTTGTAATTCCATTACAAGTACTTTTAAATTAAATATAGTTTAAATGTTAAATAAATTATTAATTCTTTATTATAAGTTACTTTATATTATGAAATAATCACACTGAAGTATTTTGAATGCTGCAAATTCAGATTTACAAAAATAAAATACGAACCTTGTTCTATTGCTACATCTGGTAAATATGTAGCAGTTCGCTTATTGCCCTTTTCATTATGAAATTCTATACGAATACCATGAACCCCTATTATCCAATCTAAATAATCTGCTCCATCTTCAAAATGTCGAAGTATAGAAACACTTACATGTAAACGTGGAAGTTCTTCCAATGTGATTGGATTAAACCGTGAATCCTTGAAAGCACTATGAAAAACAAAATATTTAAAAACTTGTTATATTATTATTGTTTTTACTTGCATGTAAAATTATACCTAGTGGTAGCATATTCTCGTAATCCAGCATGTAAATGCATTGCATTAAATGTACCAATGCAACCCCTTAATCTCATATCTTTGCCAGTAGTCCATGTTACAAATAAAGGACTTCAATGTTACATGTAAATATTATATTAATATATATGTAATATAGAAATATCACATTCATACATTTTAATAATGTACACCAAAATTTGAATATACAATTCTCATTTAATTTATGGTAAACAAATAATATAAAAACAGCAAACATAAAAGTAATTGTTAAAATAATCATTAAAAATTCTAATTGAAATATTTATGAATTTGCTTTTATCTAAATAATTACTATTTTTAACTACTTTTACCTAACAGACTTGTACATGGTACATCATAAAAGAACAGAAATAAAAAATACTGACAGATTTTACTTGTTTTTAAGTAAATAATAAATTATCCGTATGAAAATATTGTACGAAAAGATATTTGAAATCTATTTACAATGGCACATTTGTAAAGTAAAAATCATAACCTTCGAGTAAAATTATAAACACAAATGTAAATATCTGTGACAAGGCATAAAAAAATCACTTACAAGAAATACAAAAAATTTCATATTAAAAATTACATATTTAAAAATTTTAAACGGTGGAAAATTGAGTTAGTAAAAACATCAAAGAGAAAAATAGATGAAAGGAAAATACATGGGTAACAAATACTCACAAAGCTTCATTACTGAAGTTAGGTGGTTTTGGTGGGTCAAGTTGGTGCAGTTGGCAGTAAAGGACATCGAAACAATAAAAGCCCATCTCAGGCTGAACTATTATAGAATTCCGTATATGAATACTATTTTGTAAACTTACAGTACCGTTACGCGAAACACTAGTAGAATCATTCAGTTTTTGCTTTTTCGTTCCACAACAACCAGCTGCCATGGTTTCTTACTTAACTCTTCTAAGTATGATAGGTGCGATCGGTTCCGTATCGTGCATTTTGTTCGTTCGTTGCTATTGCATATGAGATTGTGTACGCGTTCCGCTAGATGTCTCGGTATTCAAAAAAAGCAGCTGTTTCACTGCCCGCTATTTTTCTGATGAATATTTTCCTAATGAATATTACTAATTCATTTGAAGTCCATTTATTTATATATTCTAAATAGTAAATATATTTAAACACGACTCAAATAAAATTTCTTTATCATTAATTAAAATAATACACCTCCTATCAAGTTTCATCTCTTTTAAGATTGATTCTATTATAAATGTTTTAACCATAGTATACACATAATTTAAAATAATTTTCTGCGATTAAGAAATATTAAATACTGTACTGCATTATGATACGTAATTTAGTAGCAAAAAGGAGCATAACAGAGTAGGGGTATTGATAATAAAAACAATGGTAATATTATAATCAAACTTGATAATATAAAAGTTTTATTTAGTTGTCCCAATTGTATAATAAATAGTAATAACTATTCATTATATTTATTTAAGTATGGACTTTTCTTCACTTTTTTTTTTTTTTTATGAATTTATGTAAATACATATTATTTATAAATTATTTACCAGAAATCTCTCACTAGGCACAATACATTTTTTATCTATTGAAATATATTCAAAATCATTATAGTTTAAAATATTTTTTTTTTTATATATATATGTCACAGCATAAAATATTAAAATCTTTTTAATTATAATCACAAATATTTTTGTGATTATATGTACATCACTATTTCGTTATTTTAATTTCTATTTAAATCAATTTTAAGAGAAGAATGATTTCAATTATTTGCACATGTAAAATTTATTATGTATGCAAAAACAACAAAGTTATATGCTTTATATAACATTGTATGTTTTATATTACTCTACATCAATTCCAAAAGATTAATCCAACATAAATATTAAAAGATGTAAATTTATTTTATAATAGTATCTTTATCCCCTAAATAAATGTATCTCCTTTTTTCTTTTATCATTAATTATTTTTATAAATAGTAATATTAATCTTAATCACACTGAATGCACACTTTATTTTTAATTAAGGAATTAAAATATTCTATTGTCACAAATCGAGCAGATGCAATTAGTTTCCAAATGTTAGATACTATTTAAGTATATGACTGGCAGTTAATTAGACATCACATAATGTTGAACATATAATAAATAATAAAAGTGAACTAAATTAAGTTTTTCCGTGAAAATAACTCAAACAACTAATTATTTTAATGAAAACAATTACTAATTCATAATTAATAAAAATCAATGTTTTTTTTCACTATTTCTGTATGTTAACAAAAATATGTTTATTATAATAAAAGAAGCCTTTAATAAATTGGCAGTGTGTAACAATATTTAAGTAAAGGTTAGTGAATAAAAAAAGTAAAAATATTAACAGATGGAAGAACATATTTTACTATATCTCAAAGATCACCAAATCTATGTTTCATTAATTCACTCGAATGTGTTATAATCATATGCTTCAACAAAAATAAAGTAATAAGATAAGTATATTACAGAAAGCAATAGCAACTCTATTTGTGTTTTATGAGTCACAGAATATTAAAATCACAATGAGATCGTCACATTTTCATCTACATCTATGATACAACTATTATTAACGCATTCTTTAATAGTCATAGTGCAGTCCATTGCGTATTTACAGTAGAGGTCCCATTCTATCATTTTTTATCACACTGCTATTTTCTTTAATAGTATTACCTAAATTTTATAAAATCAGCAGTAATTTCCACACAAGTATCAAGGTATTAATATCTACTGTTAATTTAATTGATTGACTAACTTTAGTTACAATTATTCACAAAGAATCACATATTTATGTATTCAGTGATATAT